CTTAGAAAGTATTTCCAACTAGGTACATGATGCAAAAACCACATGTTTGTACAAAAGCAATGCCTAAAATCTTTTTTGCACACAAATTGTATGTAAACAGGCAGAATTTTGGAAGATGAAATATGAGCCTCAAACACTCTTGACATCATCTGTAAAAAAGTATAACAGTGCTTTTAGTCTCTAAAAGATCTAGCTTCTTTTTCAGAAATGTTCTCTGTTTCTAAATATTTGAAAATGTCCTGATAGAAAATAATTGGGTCATGCATCACCAGCTCTTAAAGTCCACTTAGCTCTTTTGATATAATTATTTTTGCATCCATTATAGACTTACGAGGGCACAACATGAATGCTGCTTTAAATGTTAACTTTTTGTTTTGCTTACAACTCATCTGTTGATGACATCAAATGATATGTCTTACTCACAGTGAGCTGTGTTTAAAATCACAAGAAAATAATAAAAATGGCAGGGTTGGCAAGGTGACTCACACTGTAGACAAACAAAGGAAGATGTCTTGGTTTCAGCACAGAAGGCTAGACACTACACATTTTAAAACAGGGAAGAGGTTTGGCACTGTGATAGGATCAAATATATTTATGGAAAATTTTACAAATCTGATTTGGGAAAATAGATGTTGAAACTTTTTAGTGCAAATTCAAGAACATGCATAATGACAAAACAATAACACTTCAGCAGCCGTTGCTAACATCGACAATCATGGGAGGAGTCAATTTTTGCCTTGAGGTTAAATGCAAAGGTAGACTTAAGATATTCTGGTGATTTTATTTATATCATCAATAGAAAAAAAAAAACAATCCATGTTAACAAAGAGTAAAGAGCATTACAACTCATCTTCAAGATACAAAGATTACATCAATATGGGAAACAACAACTCTGTAAATCACTTTAATCAGAAATAAAACTTTATAATTAAACTCACAACAATACAATATGACAAGTCTCTGGCCACTGCTGCAGATGTGTTTGCTGTGTCATATTTACATAAGTGAGGATGTGGCCAACAGTTTTTTGTTTTTCAATAGAAAGTTTATACCAGAGGAACTAAGTGTGATTTTGTTTATCTTGGTTCATTATTATGCTGGGTGGCATGGACTGGCTAAAAACTGGCCCTTTATATGAATTTTAGCTGCACAGGCCCTGTGCAGTTCCCTGTTTCTATAATATCCACACAAAAAGGTTAATTGAACTGATGAGTCTGAATTTACCCTACGGGTGAGTTTTACATGCTTGTCTCTCTGTCCTGTGTTGTTTATGTTGATAGGGGCCGGGGACCTATCCACAGAAAACGTGATTTCTCATTCATTCTTCATACTGAGAAAAACAGGAACAGGAAATGGACAGATAAGTGGATAATTAGGATTTATTTTTCTGCATGATGAATAATTTTTAATCTTTTTTTTCCCCTGTATGACTTGATAAATGGTTCCGTAATTCTTGCTATTTCATTCTTGTATTTTTCCTGGCACATTTATAAAATCAGGAAGTTAAAACTAAAAAATAAAATTGTATTTATTTATTCCATTTTTAGCCATATTGACACCACATATTGGGTCATATATTCCTGTGATGGGGAAATTAAAATCATGTGCTGAAAGGGCTTTTTTGTGTACCTCTTCCTGAAACAACTATGGGGCCCTGAAGGTGTGTGTGTGCAAACTATCATCCTTCTACAGACAAAATGAATAAATGATCTTCAAGTGTTTTATTTGTTCCCAATAGCCCATTTTTATGCTTTTGTAATACCATCAGAGTAACCTTCTTCATACTCACAACGCAGAGTCACAGGGAAACATAAAACTCTTAAATAAATAATCAGTAAGAGCAGACAAATAACAGAACTGAAAAATTATTATTTCAGTTAAATAGCTTCCTCCTCTTCATTTCTATTAAAGCACTGTCCAGTTTCTGGACAGAAGGAACTGGTTTTCTGTGTATCCAGAGTTTACGGAAGTTTAAAAGGTTAAGGCTGTCCCAAATATCTGTGCTGTCCACTTAAAATATCTGAAAGCACCGAGGGCTGTGTAATAAAGTTTCTCGGTATCTTTTTGAAAACTAAAGGTCACTAATAATAAAATCCCCTCACAGTACATAAACTTCTTACCCAAAAATGTTCTTCACCATGGGCACAGGCAGCACACATTTCTGAAAGCAGTATTTACACAGCCCTCCGTATTCATCGGTTACTCTGGTGAGGATATGAATGCAAAAACCTAAAAGGAATTTACAATTTCATTAAATGACTGTGATCTTACACAATATAATATTCTCCTCTTTGCAAAATCTGTCTTGAGAATCAAGGGTCCTGGGTCCTCTCCTCTGCTCTCTTCTCTTACTCACCCCACAGGGTTTCATAGGCCTGGAGGGCAAAGATGACCATGTTTCTGGTGAACCATATATTTGCTGTTTTGGCCATTTGATTTTGATCATTAGCCTGAAGAAAAATGCAGTCATGACTTGTTTTCACTTTTTAAGTAGAATTTCATTTCATTTCAATTAGTCATTTATAAAAGTTTCTGGGTTTGTTAAAAGAGAAATAAGCACCTAACATTTTAGATGCTTATTTCAGTGCAGTGTTTTTCCTCTCCACTGCCACTAATGTCTGCTCAGCATGAGGGATTGTTGCAAAGTTAACAACACAACATAGGCGATTATGCTGCTGTTGCTATGTGCTCGTCCAGAAGAAGTGAATGCCAAAGGTCAAGGTGTCACTGGAATCTGGTTCCTTAGGTAGAAAACATATTAAAGTAATATAAATAATAATCTGAACTTGAAGCACTATTTGAGAAGTGGGATCAATTGGAATGTATGTGTGACTTTCCAGCATCTATTCTTATGAATTACTAATCTTACCGACATAAGCACATGGTTACAACCAATCAAATAAAAATAGCAGTTAATTGTTGTTATGGACTTGGTGACCTGCCGAAGAGAAATAAGCTTCTATCTCACATCAAGATAATTCCTACAGGGATTGTCAAGCTGGAGAAACTCTATACAATTTTTTTTTTTTTTTGCCTGATTTTATCTCTGATTGCCAGTCGGGAAATGTCTGTCAGTCTGCACTAGCTACTATGAGGTGGGGTGAAAACCGGACTTTGAGGGGGAGCTAAACTGACCTGACCTCTTTTGCAGTCAAACAAACATGTTTGACTTTTCGAGGCAGATCTGGAAGCAGTCAGGTTGTGTGAACTGAACATTGACCCATCTGCTATGTCTGTTTCTGACAGCCAATAAAGAAAAGAGACTGGAACATGACAACAGCTCTGAACTGACTATTTCTTTCTTTGTAACTAAGCAACATTATGTACAGAAAAGCAAAAGAGCATAAAGCATCATACCAGCTCTCACCCAACTAAATACCATAACACAATGTAACATGTTAAACAAATAAAAAACTACAGAGAAATACTTGGACATTCAAGACTAAAACACACTAAATAATTAGATGCCTTACTTCATTATTTGGTTTACTGAAATAAACCAAACTGTTTCCATAATTCAAAGAAAGGCAATGAGACTTAATTTAACGAACTGACATTTCTACAATACAATCATTCCAAAACCCACAGACAAATGCATAGCCTCTTATACATGTTCCAACTACCAACAGGAGTAGAACAAACAATACAGCTGAATTAATCTGAATCATATTCAGCTTCATCTCTGCTTCAATATATGTGGGGGTGTAACAGAAACATAGCTTGTCCAAAGTCTGAGAATTTCTTTTATTACCACCATCGTACTGATATTTTTGTTCCTTTAGACTGTCAACCTTGCAAGAGTTTCCATGAAGCCTTGATGTGCTCAGTTGGCTTTAGTTTGTCTGTAATATCCTGTGATCTGTGATCCAGCATCAGACACAGTCACACAGTTAAGTGTCTGGACCTCGGTCTTTCCCAGTCTTTTCAAAATCTGACCGTGAAAGTCATCTGGTGTGTTCCTGACCAATAAGCCGTCTGACATCTTATGCAGTGTATATAAATATCTGGTTTCAATTGTACTTGAACGAATTACAACCGAATTCATCTATTAGCATCCCTGCCAATACTACTGTAACCTACCCTATTTGAATATACTAAGATGATGCAGAAACAAAAAAATAATTAATCTATTAGGCATGTCAGTGCTTGTTCAGCTTGAAATCTATTCTTGTATTAAACTGGCAGAAACATAAAAGGTAATACAGCTCCAGTTGTCTTGGTTGTATTCCCTGTAACTAATTTCATAAGACATGGCCAATCAGACATGCTAATTGTAAGCACAAGGCTGCCGTAATTGGAACAGTTTTGACCTGTTAGCCCAGTTGAGTGCAGTGGTGCATGAATAAGCAGCACCTCATATATTTCATGTGTGCTGCAGGAAACAATCTCTAAAAGTCTTTTTTTTTTTTTTTGATTTTCTGATAGCACAAAGGTCCTGAAAGTGACAGTGGAGCAGCACATTCAGTCTGTGGTGAAATCAAAGTACACTGAATGTTATGGATTGCTCACAGCCTGGCTTGTCTCATATGCATCTTTCTTTGCTTGTTTTTATTCCTCTTCATCTGCTTTTGAAAAGAGGGAACAACAAATATGGAAGCTATCACCTCTCATCAGTGACAAAGACAAAATGCCCTTATTGTGGAGTTTTTGTGCAATAGCTCGCAATAACAAACCTGGAGCATTACACGAAAGGAAGTGATAATGTCTGTATTTTTCTAGACAAATGAAGCAAGACATCTCTAGACAATATAGTAGGGAGCTGTTTTATCAATCAATTTCAAAACATACTCCATCTTTTTGTAAGACTTAGTCATTTTTCACCAATCACCTCATTTATTCGAGGCAGGGTTGTTAGATTCAGATTGACTGCATTGTAAAAAAAAAAAAAAAGAAAATCTATTCAGGTTTTACGTGTTTGCATTCTGATATTTTCACAGGAACAAGTGGTACTACCACAAAACTTTTGAAAACTATCATTGTAAGTTTCCTCAGAATAGATTTGAAATCTTAGCAATAACATAGCCCTGTTTTTTTTGTTTTTTTTTTGGTATAGGAGTAAGATGCATGTTCTATTTGGGTATAATCATCTATGTTTCTTACAATATTTTCCGAGCTTCCTGTTGTTCTGATTGTCAGTAGTAGAAGACAGCAATTTTGAGTTGCCCTATTTTGGAAGGAAAAAAAAATCGTCTCACCAATTTGTTTGAAAACATCAACAAATTGCAACACCATAAACTATCATTATATTTGTTATGGGGAATACGACTGCTGTCTGAACTCAAAGAAAGCTCTACATGTTTCACTGCAGCTGGCAACCAGTCAAAGATTACTAGATATTATAACAAATTAAAATAGAGAAAATGGCACAAAAAAGGTTGGTTGCCAATTAATGTTACTAGTTCAAAAAAGTAATTTTCTATTATACAATTTAATGGACAGAATAATATCCAAGTTTAAATTAGTTTATATAAGCCATCTGCACTTGCAGGTCAAAAAATCCCTCAGGAAAATAAAAGCTCACAGCATTGTTAAAAAAAAGGAAAGAAGAATTACAGATTGACACTGAAAGAGTTTGTGTTGTCTCGGTAGATGCTCAATTTGCTGTGCTGCCAAGTTTGTATATTGCAAGTTGAAAATAGTCAATTAGCTGAAGATGAAATCAAAAGACAAACTCAGTTTAATACTAATTGCTTTAGCTCATAGACATTTCAGTCTTCAGTCATATATTGTACTGTACAATAACCATGTTATTTTAATGTCTGAAACTGTAAGACAAACAGAAAATGTTTTTATTTCAAGTATTTTAACTGGTTGACCAAGTCTTTTAAATAAAAGTATAGTCATGAGAAAAAAAAAGAAGACCCTATTAAACATACAGCTCTTTCAAATTAAATGTATGCATAATAATGTCTAATAATTTTTATTTTTATCTCGTATAAAGTGATTTTGGATAACAAGAGTGAATCTTGTTTAACTTGTTGAGGAAAGTACATTTAAAAAATGCATTTTAGCTGAGAAAAAAGTTTGGTCAACATCAAACGTTAACCTCTTTCGTTAAATGAGACTCTTGTTGTAGTGATCCATCAGGTCCTTACATATGTCTGAAAACGTCTGCCCCAGACTTCACTTTCAACTTTGAAGAGTTTATTGTATGCAAAAGTGTTTTTCAGTCACATCAGAGCATCTCCACTGAGGAAAAGATTTGTACTTTCTACAAATTCATAAGTTGATTATGAAGACATGCGCTTTCATATCAACCAAAGCAAAAGGCTAAGTCTTGTGATGACATTAGCATTTTGCTGCCTGTTTTCAAGGTGAACATTGCTCAACAGTGAGACTGGCTGACTGTTTTGACTGTCCTCAAAATATAAACTTTCTACACAGTTGAATGGTGGATTTCAAATTTTTGAGACCTTATTAAATCTTTTACCAAACTCACAATGTTCTTTCTGAAGGCTCGTTCAATCTTACCCTGGTGTTCACGGCACGCTCACTTTAACAGACAGGAGCACACAAAACTAAACGTCTGAGGTTTAAACAGGGGAAAAGACCTTCAAAATGAAAAGGGACAATGTAATAAAGTAACAATATTTTAATCAGGTGCACCTATGCCTATGTTCATTTTAACCAGTTTTAGTTGGAATAAATTTAGGAGTGTTATTTTTATTTATTTATTTTTTCAATGACTTTATAGCTGTTTTCCAGGCTTGTTCTTTGAAATTGTTTATTTTTTCACTATATCAAAATCAAATAGCCACGTGTCCAAAAATACTTATTTCACAGGATGTCCTAATTTTTCACATATACCTGTAAACAATTTCAAAGTGACAGCCATTAGAATTGACCATGAAGTTAAAGCTTTGTGATTCTTTGAACAAGTTTGCATTGGAAATACATGCAAAGGAAGAAGTTGGTATGTTCACAATTAAATTCATCACCTTCATTTTCATGCATTTATTAATTCTTGCACAAAGACATAAAATAAGCTTTGACATTTTCATCCCCCTTGGAACAAGACGAAGATTAGTAGGTTTTGCTGTCATCCACCTTTGAAAAGTGTGAGAAATCTTGAGAAGCAGCAACCAGGTTTTAATAAGTACGGAGAAAAGAGAGCACATTACACCTGTCCTTAAATCACTGCTCCTGCCTGGCTTGCAGCAAGCACCAGAATTAGCACTCTAGTTCTCACTTAGCAAGAGGAAGCCATAAAAATATATCACAGTGCTTTCAGCTTGTAATTTCTGCTGTCCAAATGACAGCGAAAGGAAGCTGTAAAAGTAATGCTAAGATTGGAAAAACTAGAATTTTAAGATAAAACTGCTTCTCTGTACAAGAATGAAAAAAAAAACAACATATTTAACAAAGTAATGCATAAGCTGCAACATTCTGCTAGCTGATGCTTAAAAAAAATATGCAAATTACCACATTTATTCTCATTCAGTGTAAAATAAATAATTTTCTTATTAGAGTAGCACAGCATATTTTTTGTACCTAAATATCAAACCTTTAATTTAAAAAGCTTTTGGAAAAGGTACAGTGGATTTATCCATAACCTTTGGGTCATTATTCTGAAAAAAACAAAAAAAAACCCAACAACTTTGTTTATTTTCCATCAGAAGCCATCAGACATTTGATTAAAAATATTCAGGTACTTAATTGAAAATGTAATCTGTATTTTTGTGGTTTGACTGAAAAGCCCAATTCCAAGAATGCCTCCCAAACAACTAGTTGGCATTTTCAATAGCTAATGTCTAATGGTTGCTATTGAGACTTACCTCATTATCTTGCTAATTGTGCATTAAGAAATGTATACGTTAGCACTTGTGTTATAGCTTAATGTGCATTCTATATTATAGCACATTTTTCTAGTAACACAAACCTCTGGCTTTAAAGCAAACGGTGGCAAAACAGCACTAAAATTTGCTTTCCAAATAGGTTATTACTTAAGTTGTATTTAGAGAACCTTTTATGATATATGCATATAAATATGTTTATACACACACACACCCACACATATATACCCACTTTAATTATTAAGTAGATCCCTCTTGCAAATTCTGCCATTCCATTTAAAACAAACTGTTTTGTCAAGGACTTTTCATGTCTTCACACAGTCTGCCTCGCTCCCCAGAGCCACAGCTGCGTTCCTGCAACGTTCAAAAGGAAACCTGAGGGTCTACATGCAGACCCAACACTTGCATGCTGCCTCTGCATTCCAGAGGCACAGTCATTACGGTGCACTCCGGGGGAGACTCGTTAAAACCATTCTGGAAATGCTAACTTTCATTCCATTTGCAACTTATCAGTGTGGTTTGTCACAGCCAAACTGTTGTGATGGAGCTTTGGTGTTCCCAGGAGGACTCATGTCAAAATACTCAAACTGTATTTTTGGCTCTGCTTCAAATAAATCTGCCTCCTGTACCCCCTGTAGTGGCCTGATAGACCCAGATGACAATCACTGCGCGTTTGAATAATCAGCGGAAACTCTTGAATAAGCAGTGTGAACCCAAATGCCTGGGATGTTAATAAACTCTGCTCTTTGAAATGCCTTAAAAAGCTTTATCCTCTGGATATAGAGCAGCAGACAAGCTCTTACCCAGTAAATAGCAACCCTTGAGTCGATTACTCTTTATCAAACTAGGCCATCTGTCTCCTTGCGCCCAGTCTTTTGTACACAGCTATCAGACCTGGGCCACTGAAGAGGGAAAAGGACAGGCCAGGAGAAAGTAATGATGTTTGTGATGAGACTCAGTGTTGACTTAAGTCTAGCTGCAAGATCCCTGGACTCTCACAGTCAGACCATTACACACTCCATGCGTTTTCACATAGGAAGTCAGAGGGGCTTGTAGGGGATGAAGACGCTCTTATTTTAGACCGGGGTGACGAACAGATCACTCAGAGATATGTGTTCAACTTTGAGAATCAATAAATCCTTCCCCACAAGAACTCCAATGCTCCCCACTAAGGTTGTAATATTTGATTCATGATTTTTTTTTCTCCTAGTATCTATATTTTACCAATAAGAGCAACATTTCTGTAAGCTATAAAAATGAAAAGTAGCCATAATATCACCAATAACCTGGCAAAGTCATTTTTGTAACACTGTGATGTTTTTTCAAATAACTTAACATATTTAACTTGTCGAGCCTCCTGAGGGGTGAAGGTTCACAAAAAAACTTGAGGAAGGTGGAAAGATTTTGAGAAATTAATAAATGTGTCAGGAGCAGGGATAGCCAATTTAATATTAGCAGGGCGTCATATTGTTTTGGCTGTTAATGAGAGGATCTAAACCCGCATTATGAGGATGTCTGAACAAACTACATGTTGGTCTGATTTCAAGTCATACAATAAGAAAAATCAAGTCAGGTATTTTTTGTGCAGGTCAGTATCTGATTTTAATTGTATATCATTCTGGGCATGACTGCAAACGTGTAGCATGTTAATAAAATTACATAAAAAGTGAGAAAAAAATCAGCTCAGTTGTCAAAACTCTTAAATTTTCTTACTTTTTTTTCTCAGGCTTTTGTAAGAGACTCTAAATGGTTGTGTGGTAGCTGCAAGGCTTTCTGAGGTTTTGTTTTGCACAGAAATGCTCACTCTCAGAGAGAATGATTGAAAACTGAAAAGAACTCAGAATTGTTTTTCAGGTTAAGGGAAAGAGGGCCTGAAGTGGAAGGGGGCAGATATCTTTACCTGTGAACTAAAAGTTGACCAGGCTAGTGAAGAGCACAACAGGTCTGAAGCAAAAATATCAAACATTTATAAGAGACATTCTTCAAGTTTAAGCTTGTAAGACTCACCAGCTGCACTCTAGAAATGGTGGTTCATAACAAAAATGCTTACAGGGACACTTTTCCTTGTATAAAGTCACAGTTTATCACTCGACAGCATTCGTTTTGAAGTTTTGAGATTAACTGGCAACCGAGTCGTTACATAAATTAAGTGGCACCCCTCACACAGTGTGCAACTCCAGGCATGTTATTCAGTAAAACCCTGCAAATATTAGGAGCCAGCCATTTAGTAGCAAGTTGCTTTCTCAGCTAGATTCTCAAGAGTGATATTAAAAATGAAAAGAGAAGTTGCTGTATGCTCTTTTGAAGGCGCTCATGACCTTTTTTCATGGCATGTTTGACTTTGATTCAACTGATAATGATTCAAATTCAGTACCCTAGTTCCCATGTCTTGAACATATTTAACGCCAGGCAATCTGCTCCAAACCAGCCAAGACACTGCTGTACATCTAAATTAAAATGGCAAGGAGAGCATAAATCAGAGAAGCTACCAAGAGGGCAATGATAACTGTGGAGGAGCTTCAGAGATTCCCAGCTCATGTGGAGCATTCTGTTGAAAGGACATCTATTACTCATGCATTCCACAAATATCTTATGGGTCAGTGGAGAGTAACTGTTACAAGAAAATACAATGTAAAGTTTCAGTTTGCTTCAAAACATGTAGGGCACAAACATGGAAGAAGGTGCTGTGTGAGGGGATTTCTCAGCAGCAGCAAAGGAAGCTGGTCAGAGTAGATGGGCAACTACTGGGCAATCCTGAAAGAAAACACTTTAGATACTGCAAAAGACTGAGGTATCAACCCAGAGCTCCAGTGTACAGGAGCATAAATTATTTTACAAAGAACAAATAAACAAGATGTCTTGTCTCTGGTTGTGCAAAGGTTGTAAAGCCCTAAAAGATGTACAGCCGTAACTTAAATGGGAGAAAACTAAACAAAACTTTAAATTTTATACTTATGGTCACAATTGGTTGGTTGATCATATCAAATTCCAATAAAAACACATTGGTTTGTGGTTGTGCAAAGTTTAAGTTATATGAATACTGTTGCAAGGTGATGTAACAAATTTGATCTCAAAATACTTTCACAAGACAAGCAGGTCAAATTCTTACAAAACTATATAAAATTATAATACAGTAACTTAAATTTCAGGTCAACAACCTAGGAAATGAATAAATGTCAATTATATGCATATAATATTAAATGGACATGGCTTGGAACATTTTACCTCATATGTTGAAACATTTTTTGAAATCCATCAAGTCTTTGTTACTCTTCCTTAATATTTACAGCGACCTTGTGTCATGGAAATATTTATTTATTTATTTTTTTTTTAAAGACAAAATATCTGCCTGAGCAGAGATGTTTACTTGAACTGAAAGATGACCTCACTTTAAAACAGCTCATAAAACATTTTTGCCTTTGGAGAAGAGTTTATATTGCAGTTATAAAAACACTTTAACTGAGCCAACAAACAGGATAATGCAGCCATTTTTACAATTCTGTAAGACAAAACTTGCCTTGATTAATTGCTGGCAACACTCAACAAGACTATGAATTATTGATGGGAATTACCAGGCTATTGCTTTTAAAAAAGCTTTTGACATCAGCCATATTAGATGTGTTGAATAACCTAAAATAAATAACTCTACTAAGAAATCATAGTATTCTACTGAAAATATTTTTGAATAATCCATGATATTTCAAAGTTATTGGTACCTCTGCTCTCAATGCACTTCCAAGAAACAGAGGACTCTTTTACCCAGAATTCTCTGTTACACTCTTCTCTTCAGCTTACCGCTCGGGTTTTCTCAAGGATTTTAGCTTAGAGACTCAGAGCACCAGAATGTGTTTGGATGAGAAAAATCCTGCAAAAATCCCTTTTCATTTTTGTTCCTGAAAGCAAAGACCTCCACAATTTTACTGGAAATGTCCTGGTACATCAAAGTTCATAATACCCCAAGTTCAAACTAGGAACTCTGGAGGGGAATAGACATCACAGCATCACAGATTCTTCCTTGCACTTAACAGGCATGAGTTGCTTTTACAAAATAATTCTTTGCTTCACGCCACAAATATCTTTGAATGTTTGTCAATATCATTTGACCAAATCACACAGGTTCAACAAAAGCCATAGCAGTATTAGCAAACTACCCACATTTCCGGTTCTAATGAAAGGACTTGGAGCATGTTTTCTTGGAATGTCTCTTTGACAATTAGTAGGCAGGGAGGTACTGTCGTTAACTTAACATGAGGACCACAAAATGCCTCTCCTTGCTACGGCTGTCTAAAGGCATCTTTGGTAGTTTTTATGGATTCTCGTTTAACCTAGCGACCAGCTGGCTTAAAGAAATTGTCCACTGTCTTATAGCATATTTACACCCAAAGAACCAAATTACCATGAAATACCAAGCTCTAATCAATTTGAAAAAAAGTACGGCATTTTCTCAATCAGCATACTCATACAATTTGGCTTTTTCTAAATGCTTTTGTTTCATATTGTATTACTGCAACAAACAAAACATTTACAATGTTTTACCAGAGGTCCAATTATTGTGACCATCACTTTCTGCCTCTAGAAGACCAAATGAGTATAACTGTTAGAAATCACCCCACAGCATCAATAACAGCAACTTTTTTTATTCCCGTTGGGATTTTATGCGGTTAACAGCTGTTTGCTGTCACAGAGGTGCTCAGCTGTCCGTGACTGGAGCAGGGCAGGAAAGCTGCTCTGCTGTAGGATGTTCTGCAACGACTGATGTGGAGGACAAACCGGTGGTATTTAGCAAGCAAACATGTTGAGGCTCATTTCCATATTTCACCTGCCTGATAAACCCGGTGTTTGCCTGATTCGTCTGTAAAAACAAAAACAGCAGAACAGGAAAAACCATTGTGCCCGGCGTGCGACGCTGCTTAAAATGCAAAGCAAACTGCTCTCACTTGAAACTTGCCCGTAACAAAAACAGAGCTCCTTTTGTGCTTGGCACATCACCGCACGATTGGGTGGGAGTGAGGTAGGGCAGCTATTTTTTTTTTCTTTTTCTAAATTATTTATTTGTTCAAAACTGAGTAATTATCTCAAGTCTCTCTTTTCACATTCAAACAAACCGTTGGCCTCTCTCTCTCTCTCCGTTTTCTGACAGCATTATTCAGATGAGGTCTGCATTGCAGTCAGAGTCATGTTTACTGACCAAAGCCGCAGTGTGAAATTCAGAATAATTGCTCTCCACAACTCCCCTGGCATTCCCTGGCACATTTTGCCGCTCTGCTCACTTCAAGCAGAAAGTCCAACTGACAGAAACACGCCCGTCTCTGTTCGTCTATTAATCGACCAGTTGTCGTTAAAATGAAAAAAAAAAAAAAAAAGAAGCAAATATGCATTCATAAGCTCTAAAATATTTTGCATTAGCATGTTAATGCAATAAATGAACATGAGAGCAATGTCAGGGTATTGAGAAAAGGTCATGTTCATGTCATCCACACCAATTTTGGCACTTCAATATGAAGGTGGGTCTACTGATGGTTACAGTCTGGAATATCTGCTGTATATCTAGCAGATGTAATTGCTAAAAATGGCAAATAAGCAGAACAAGCAGATATGTCAGGACACTGCTTGGACACCTCATTATAGCACCACAGCATTCCTCATTGTGCAGGGAGGAGTCCTTGGCGTGCGGCTGAGCAGGAAGGCAGCACACAGAGAATAGTCCCATTAAGATGTTAAGAACCGTAGTAGTGTACGGTTCTGTGCGTTTCATGTTGTTGGTAGTGATGGCAGTGGGGAGGAGGCAATCATTGCTGGATGCACTTAAATATGCTCGCACAGAAATCTCAAAAGCAGTCATGTTTCCCCCAGCCGGCATGTCACTCTCCCAAATTGTTTCATGTTCTGCTGCACGACTAAATAAAACCAAAAGGAAAACAAATTCTCCTGAGACAGAGAGGAAGAGAAAATACTCATGTTGCATACTTTGTAGCTCTGTCTAATATTTTAGTCGGGTTTCTTCAAAATGGCATTTTCTGGTTGAGTTTGATTCTAAAACTCTGGCATCCCTTAATAGGGGGAGGGAAAATCTCTTAAGGGTTTACTGCCATCTGTTGGTGCCGAGCAAAACTGATTATCGTCTGATAATGCTTGGCTGGGTAGTGTAATCCTTTTATTATGCATTTACATGTGCATATACACCAAACTGGACAGCTGAATATACTTTCAGACATTCTGGGTGTTTCTTTATTGGCCTGTCGATACCATTTCAAATAATTTCGCTCTCATTTCTGCACCCTTGACTGCGTCATAATTATGATTTAAAGTGGTGTAACAGTGAAGAAACTGAGATTGCTGTTTGCACTTAAGGTTATGAATGTCAAGCTGCTTCTCCTGATTGGATGATTATGATATTCAAGAAGAAATCCACTAGTAGAAACAGTTTTAGGGAAACATTCAGTAACCCGGGCAGTAAGGAAGTATTATTTGTCTTTCTGCACATGCAGCTCTCTCAAACGAGTGTCTGCTTATGATCGTTTCCATGAGTTGGGCTGCATTGTAAACTGCCCTGAAAACGTGTTCATACCACAGGAGCTTTTTCACACGCTGCCAAGTTACAACCAAAATTGTAATGTACAGTAGTAATATTAAACTATGTGATAAACCTATACTAAAAAGAAATTTAGTTTTCCCCAAAATGCTTTGTGGCTGAAATTTAACACCATCCCCTTTGTAAATTGTGGTGGCAGTATGATGCTGTGGGGATGCTTTTCTTCAGCATGAACAGGGAAGCCATGTCAGAGGTAATTGGAAAAAAATTGAATTCAATGAAAGAAACCATTTTCGAGGCTGCAAAAATCTTAAAAGGTAAATTATTTTCCCCCAAACCGGCATGAAGACTTTGAGATATTATTATTGTGGATTTTAAGGTAAATACATTGAAAATGTGGTTGTATGTATCTTAATAAAATTTCAACAGTTTAAGGTGTCTGCTTTTGCCTTTTAACATGCAGAAACAAACGCTACATTCAGGACGATAGCTTCTTTCTCTTTATTTTAAAATTTGTTTTATAAGAGTAAGACCCTACAAAAATGACATAAGATTTTCTGGAAAAACAAAAATAACTTTGAGGGGCAACATTTACCACCATTAACATGATTGTGTAAAATGGCATAGCTCCATTACCAATAATGAAGGCTGAATCTAAAAACCGGCAGTAAATTCAATGCCGTCACATCATCAGCAGAGATCTAAAATGAGGTCAGAAAACAGTTTGTCTTTTGCCCGACCAGAATATAACGGCTACACATAAGGACCTCTGGCAAACTGACTAAAGACAGAAACATTGAAATCTCTTAAACCGGATAATTTAGAAGGAAACTGCCTTTCTCAAAAAGAAAAAGAAAAAAAAAAAGAAAAACTTTTTTGAAAAGAATAGTTTATACCCATTCAGCTCCATCTGGCACTGAGACTGTGTCCTTAAGAAGTATAAAGAGAAGTACAAGTATTGATTTATAGAGGAAGCAAGTCCAAAGAATATTAAAGCCCTTCTATGACAGTTGATATGCAGAGGTAGAGAATTAAAAGAATGTAGAGGGACTTCTGTTTAAAAAAAAAAAAAAAAAAAAAAAATCCTTTGACAGGATCTCATGTATAGTTAAATTGAAATAATGCATTGAATTTGTCGTTTGGAATCCTCAGTCTGTTTCTTCTTCCTCTGATTCGGACTCTGGAAGGATTAAAATAAAGGTTAGTTTACAGAATAATCTAAATAACACTTCAGCAGCTTAGCTAGAGAGTGAATGAGTGAGTGGCCTACCTTCCTCTGCGTTTTTAAGCCATTCGACAAAAGTTTTCATCTGATCCAGAAAAACACTTTTTCCTTTGGGCAAATGGGCGTCGTTGTACCACTTCAGAATTGCTTCCTCACTTAAGACGTCCGCTTGAAACATAAATTAAAAAAAGAAACATCTTTTTAACCTGATGCCAGGAGCACAGATGTGCCCCCAGGTGCTTGTGGGAGAGGAAAAGAAAAATTCACCAGGGCTGGTTGATGACATCAATCAAGACAAACTTTCTGGCTATAATCTCTGGCCATCTGGCAGCATTCGTAGCTTTCCAACACAAAGCAAACTGTTTTCCGCACAAAAAAAAGGCAAACACAGGCCCAGGAGCCGTATGGGCGTAATTAACTCACCTTTGTAGAGCAGAACAACAATTTTCTGGAAGGCCTTCATAAAGTGGATGTTGTCATAGCAGTATTCCTGGATCTTTAGCAGAAGTGTGAGTTCAGAATATCCCTGGGAGGTAAAAGCCTTCAACAGTGGGCTGTATTGCTGAGAAAGGGAGACATTTATGGATTTACAAGAGACTTTTCACTTTTGAAATCTGATGGCTTTAAAAAGTGTGAATTTTCTCTAACATCTAAAACTTTTTCAAATTTGTTGGTGAAAATTATTGATTAAATACAGTACGCGAGAAAAGTATTCATACACAAAGGTTTTCCAAATTTGTTCTATTAAAGAACACAATAACAGTGTACAATAAGGCACAGTTTGTAACATTTTTAACACATAAATAAAAACCTGAAAAGAGAAACTTCTGCTTCGATCTGAACCATTCTAACAGATTAATATGCTTTGATCTAAATCCTTTCATTAGAGCTCTGGCTGTTTCTAGGCTTGTTCTGCTGGATGTTAACTCAAGTCAGTAACGGCCTCTAACACATTTTCTCTCAGAACTGCATTCTATTTAGCTTCCTGTCCACCTCAGTAAAAGAAAAACAACCTTACAGGATAGATTTTTTTAATCAAACTCTGCTCTTAACTTCTCCACCACTTTATTCCTGACCTGTCTGGTGTTCCTTGGTCTTTATTATGCTGTTTGTTCATTAATTTTCTTTAAATATCTTCACAGAACACCTGGATTTACCCTGAAAATACCTTCCAAAAGTGTTAATTTGATAATTAGGAGACTTCTGGGTGTGTTGTATTGTGTAGGGGTATTAGTAACCAGGGTACTGGACATCCATTACATAAAACTTCAATAAAGTAAACTACATTAAAATGCAAACAATTTCAAAGGAGTATGCATACTTTTCCAAGGCCCTGTAAATGCTCTCTTCTAAGTAATAAACCTACAATTGCATTAATTTAACAGTATCTTTCATTTTAAAGACCCAGCCAAGTTTATTTACATTTCTGCTTCCCTATACTCTCACAAGCTAAATAGAGAATGCAGACCGTTACAAAACCTAACTAAGGTGTCACCTTTAAGTGTTTAATGGCTTGTTCTGCGACCAGCTCCTCCTTCTTGTTCCACTCCACGGAGCTCATCACGCTGGACCAAATCAGTCCAACCATTGTCTGCTCTGAGATGTTGCTCTTCTTCATTTCCTCTCGGGTGTATGCGATAATCTGTCGAACACATTAACGGCAATGCAGACAAACCAAAGCCAGCATGTGCATTATCGCGCCTCTAATCAAACCCTCCAGATGTGTTAGGCATTGGAATCCTCAGAGAAGCATGCGGGAGGTGAGACTATTGTCGAGGCTGAGTGGATTGCAGAAACTTTTCATTGATTCACTGCACCCATTTTGCAGCCACTCCTCAAGACAAAGGCAGACAAAGGTCAAGAAGAAAGCGATTCTCAGAGCTAGTCTTCGCAGTGTGCTACATAAAAAGAACCGAGTGTCAGAGAAAGCAGGAAAACTAAGTGGACTTACGTCTTTGTGGGGGTCTCCTCGTGACATCTGATCTTCAATTTCTTTCTGTAGCTCCTTGCGTGCACCTATAGACTGCTGGTTTTTGGCAAAGTCTGAAAGCTCCTTTAGCCCTGCATCGTCAAAGTACTTGGTGAAGTGCTCACTACTGCGTTTGTTTGCAGGAAACAGTTCCTGAAAGGAGTGAAATGTTTAGTGAGGACTTTTTCAGCCAGAAACAGACTGTAATCATTAACTAAAACTTGAACTGCTGAATGTCAGAATGGCGTCTCAACTAATCTCATTTTATTTAACAAGTCATAATCCAAGCGCACAGACTTTTAAGACTTAATTCTGCTGTAATAATGTTGTATTAAATGTGTCATTCTCACCAGAAGTCTGTTGTCCATGCCAACTTTCCGAAGACTGCCAGCAACTGAGTTTATGTCCTTCTCGGAAAGCCAGGATTTAAAGAGTTTCACGGCAAAGCAGGCTGAAACACCTGAACAAATGAATGGTAATGTGAGTCAGCTGCTGCACACTGATCTACCAGGATTAAGTTAGGCCTCCTTAATACATCGGTAAACGTAAATCTGCGGCTTTTAATTGCCATAAGACCATCAAGCAGATGGAGATGGATATGGCAGGGTAACATCTATATAACGACTTCAACAAATAGCATTTCAATAACTTTGTATTTATGAACATATGAAGTAGGCCACCATTCAGTCCATCTATTTGAAGATTCAAGTTTCAAGGGTAAAGTGACTGATAATGGGTGGTGCTCAATTAACCGAGGCTATTCATCAGCTGCCGTCTGTGTGTGGCCACCTCTTACTTCTGCAGCCAGCAAAAGACAAACAACCAAGTCAAAGCCAGGCAAACCTCACAACACCATCTGCATTGCTTTATCAACAGTTACTAGCATAAGCATGTAATAGCTGTCAATATTCATACAAAGAACAAGATTTTGTTTGATACATTATTGTTATTTCTAAGAGAGCAGAAAACAGAAATTAGAACAAATACCAACATTATTTGTTGCTCCAACTATGTTGCTTTCTTTGATTCTTTGTGACAGTCATTGAACAGCCTGGATTTGGACATTTCTGAATCTATTTGTACATTCCACACTTAAGGTACAACTACCCTAATTCTACAAAGAATACATACAGCAAGCACAGCTAAAAATGCTAATGTCACTAAACACGTAAATTACTACTGAAAGGTGCAAAAGACATCTTTAGGTGTTCACTGTAATCATTCTGAAATTTAGAAAAACTAAAGAAATCCTGTTTAGCCGCAGAGCTGCGTAACACTGACAGCCTCCTATGCTAATATTAATAAATAATGATGGATTACAGCAGGGGGGCTTCTTAGGACTCCCATTTCGTTTAAAATAAATGGATGAATGATTTAACAAGACTGGTTCTTTGAATGAATGTTACAGAATTTCTTTTTTTAATATCCATCTTGAAAAGGGAGATATTCTGTCATTCATTATAGTTCTCTCTTTTTAGTTTTTAAACATTTCACTGTCCCATAACTTGCAGAATTTAGTCATATTTGACATTTGCATTGATTAAGAGACTGCTCTGTGACTTTAAGCAGCTTACAAATTGTAAAGTTTTTATCAAGTATTTTTTTATTTGATCAAGTAGTAATAAAATAGTAATTTGCTATTATTTATAGTTCTTAAAGAGATTTTTAAAATGCGAAGAAATCCAAGCAGATAGCTTGATTAATCTCTTGCATCAATACATCTTCAATTAAACAGTTTCATCAGATGCCATTCCATTTGTTCAGTTCCTTGAGGATAGTCTCATGTTTCCCAGCCACATGCTTATCTGCATATTTGGTACCAGCTTTTCTGACTGCCAGAAGCAAGAGCAATTTATGATGGCCACAAAATGTTTGATCAAATGACTTAAGAAATGCAAAACAAATACAGCAATGAAGATTCACAGATTACTTATTTCAGGAAAATAATCAGAGCTAAACAAACTGCCATCACATGACAGTAAAAGAAAACATTTACTTTAAAAAAAGAGAAAAAATATCCATCTAAATTATTGTTTGCTTGATAAGACTAAAACCACCTTTGCTGTTGGTCTTTTTGTCAATATCATAAAATGATTTTATTAAATGCACCAAACAAGCTTTTCCTTTTCGATACAGATTTCCACCCCATCTCAACGGATATATTTTTCTAAGGTCAACGTTCATACAGCAGGTGCTCAATTCTGATTTTTGTGCAGTCCACAAAACCAATCAGAAAGTTTGCTAAGCAAGTATCAACACATGATTAGAACACTTTAAACTTGTAAGTCCAGTTATTCACACGGTGAAATAAATCTGGACGAGAAATTCAAGCCTGAGCCTGTGTGGAAAGGAAACTACACAAGGATGAGCAGCAGAAACTGACATACTTGTAAAAACAGAAGTGTGACGCTCTACGATAACACACAGAAAATGTGACTGCTTGCTGAACAGCTGTTCACAAATATAAAGCAGACAACTGAATAAAGCAGTGCTTAACTTTTTCACACAGTGAGCGACTAAACCTGAGGGTGTACATTTCATGCGCTCACTAAACCTCATGACGACAACTTAATCCAAAACCCAACTGTGAAATCAGAGGGTAAATAAATTTGTTGCCTTGAACATTATTTTCCTTTAATTGTGAACTGTGTAAACATGAATTAACACAACTAAGAGATTTATATATTCTTAACATACTAAACAGCTATGTTGTGTTAAACATAAACTCAGTCCACTCGAGTTGCTGGAGAGTTCACGTCATCATCCTCCCAATCACCATTTATTTCAGGTGGCGATACATTTTGATTTACAACAGTAGAAGGTAGAATAATTTCCAGGCTAAAGAGCCTGCAGACTCCAATTTGTGAAAACATGAAATAAGCACTAAGCACCAGTGAAAGATTAAACCGTTACCTTCTTTGACCAGGTTTTCGTTAAAGAGGCTGCTGAGAATGGATGCAGAGACATTGCCGTTGGCCAGCAGAATTCCCGTGAGCATCGCCAGTTTGTTGCGTTCAGCCTCTGTGAAGCCCTTGAGAAACAGCAGCAGCTGCCAAACAGTAAGCACGCGAATTTAATTCTGTTGGCTGAATCCAGTAAAACAATGTCGCTTCCTCCACTTAAAGGTAGATGTAAGGCAAAATGGTAACGGATGTGAAGATTCTTGTAAAATAATCACACCTTTTTGATTTCCTCCTCAAATCCCTTTTCCAAGTATTTGTAACGTCTGATGAGTTTGTTGAACACCTACAAATACAAAATATGATTGTATGGAAAATTTTTGTTTACAAAATATTAATCTTTTTTGTCTTTTCACCTGAAAATTGGATTACTCACCTGTGCATATGCTTGCATGGTCTCCATGTCCTCTTGTGCTTTGAAGACACAGAAATCTGTGCAGGTCATGTCTTCAGACAGAGTACCACCTGGGGCTAAAAACAAACACTTTTTTTACTACTTCATTAATCTCCCAGTTAAAACTTTTGATCAATTTCTGTCTAAAATGTCCATTATTCTTTACTTCTTTACTTATTGTTGATCTTGTTTCACAAATACAATCACCATTGCTAAGATTGTTAGTTAACTAATACAAACCTATTGGTAACATATTACAAAAAAAAAAAAAAAAAAACAGATTAAAAAAAGAGGAATTTTTGAAGCTCACTTTTATTAAAATTTAATAAACACCAATAACTAAAGTGAGTCCACTTATTAAGTTAGATATTAAATCAATCATGTTCTACTTAAGTTGGTATTTCTCAGCTGTATGCATGCAGAAAAAAAATGTAATGGTTATTGATGACAGGTTTTGGCCAGCTGCTAATTTCCCTCTGTTCAAGCCAAGAAAAGTTAAATCTATAGCTCCAGTGCTGGAAAACATGACAGTATTAGCTTGTGAAGAGAAATAGTGAGATTGTCTGTAATTCGATCTATTACAGTTTGACACAGTTACTGAGATGCATTTGTTTTGTTTACCTTCTTCAAAAACTAAGTTTTATATTGCAGAGTTGATATAAAGGCAGTGGAAGTAAAGAAGAAATATTACAATCCCCACAGAACACCAGCTGTTAAATGTACATGTACTAAACAAGCAGGGCCTTTTGAAGACGTTATGTCCTCAAAAAGTGCAGAGGAAAACTACAAGAGAAGCCTTCTCCTCCAGTTGCTGTTTGCGGTTACCAGAGTGGTCTGGTGACCATCTCCAGTGGTTGAACATGATTATGATAAAAAATGCCATTCTGTTGTGGGACCCGTTATGTAGCAAAGTGATCTTAACCTGCTTGTTGCTGATTTTTTTTTGTTTTTTTTTTAATTAAAATAAATGTGAAATTGAAACAAAAAGATTGAACCGTATTTCTTAAGAATGTCAACATGTTTATTAGTCATTTATGCTTCACACAGGTTGGTAAAATTGTTGCAAACTATAGAAATCCAGATTAGAAATGTTTTTTTCCCCTAATTGGTCTGTAATGTTTTGTTTTGTTAAAGTTATGCTTATATGTGAGGAAACTGTGATAAAGTTGTGGCTGTGATTAAAACAAAAGAGAAAAGAATACATTTTTGCTATTTCGCCCAGGAAGCTGGAAGTGGATACAGTACCAAGAAGATAGTAAAAGATAACAAGAAGACAGTTTTAGTAGTAGAATTTTTTTGCTGGTTCACAACAACAATTGAAGGTCTATTAATGAATTCCTTTTGTAAGAGCTTGTCGCTTCTGCTACATTGACCACTCAGTAAAAACACCCAAATTCCCAAATTGCAGCACATTGATCAAATACATGATCAATGCTCTATGTGCTGCTGATTAGAATTTGTATAATTATTTGACAAATTCTAATTATTTGTTAAATAAATGGAATGCAATAGAATGGAAGCCTAATTTAATACATGAAGCTACTCAAAGGGAAATTTAAAACAAAATGTGGAAATCTGGGCACATCTGAATCTTTTCAAGACCTAAAATTGAAATAATTGAAAACAGAATGTTTGACATTTTGAAAAGAACAAAGAAAACCACTTTTACAGATGACTTCGCTGTGTAATACATTTCACCTAAATGAGATGGTAATGAGAAGTCATACTGTTTCTTTGTGAAAGCAAGTTCAAAAAAATTGTAAAAAAAAAAAAAAAAAAAAAAAAAAAAAAAAAAAAAAACACGACCCGGCAGACTACATTTGCAGGTCAGGAGGAGTTACAGGTTGTTTGACTATCAAGCAAAACTGAATCCGGCACCAACTGATGATGTTTGAAGGTCAATAATCTTAATTTCACTTTTCATTTGTTTGTAGTGGTGATATGTCATTTTTTCACCCAATCAGCAGATTTGTTTTTTACTTGTGATCAGCAATGTTCTACCTGCTTGAAACATGTTGGAACAGGTACGCTGAAATAAGCAAGCAGCAGCTTTATTCTCCTTCTATGCTTCTTGTTGATCTGCTGGAGGAGACATTTCACAACCATCGTTTCACCTCAGACACAGATTTGGAAGGAGGAGCTTCAGTCTTGGTGCTCTTTGCCCCAAGACTCTGCTGTCATTCGGCACCAAAACTCATGCACTGCTGAGAACTTAATGACAGATAAAGTTTGAAAAGATTTTTGCGAGGCCTCTCACCCAGCATTCCTCCAGCCACCAGGATGTCGAACAGAGTCTCGGCATATCGTCTGTAGTCGAGCTTGGCACCAGAGGCATCGAGGAACTTTGCAACAGCTTCCAGATCAGAGCCGCTTTGATCTAGACCTTGCACAATGCTTTCCTGAAACTGGGATGGGTCAAACCTCTCTTTTTCATCTATGAAACAAAATGACAAAACAAAAAACAGAAATTTTATGGTTTTACTGATAAATTACATAAACCAGTTATTCTGATCATTTTCACTTGAATTTCATAAGATAATTTAAGGATATAAATGTAGAAGTCTTCATAACAAAGAGTTCTTTATAATGGCCTTCAACTGATAAAAGTTTTAAACTTTAATCTACTCTAAAGATTACTTCATGCAAAAAGTGCATGAAGTAAAAAGTGAGGTGCAATTCTACCTGTGGAGAAAAAAATCTGAGTACTCTCAAGAGAAGTCAACATGGGGGCTGTAAATCATAGTAACGGTTTAGACCCATTAATTAAGCCCTCAAATAGGAGAGGAGTTTAATTGGTACAGCCTTATTCATAAAACATACCTGTGTTTTCATCTTCCAAGGTGAAATAAAAATCATGCAGAAAGTGCATCACAAAAATTTAAGATTATTCATCCCCCTTATGCATCAAAACATACCATTACAAAAGAAATATACCATCCATCCATTTTCTTTACACCCTTGTCCCTTAGTGGGGTCGGGAGGGTTGCTGGTGCCTATCTCTAGCTAATGTTGCGGGCGAGAGGCGGGGTACACCTGGACAGGTCACAAGTCTGTCGCAGGGCAACACAGAGGACAAACCACCATGCATACGCACGCACTCCCACCTAGGATCAATTAACCTGACAGTCATGGACTGTGGGAGGAAACCGGAGTACCCGGAGAAAACCCACGCATGCACAGAGAGAACATGCAAACTCCACGCAGAAAGACCGGGGCCGGGAATCGAACCCAGAACATTCTTGCTGCAAGGCAACAGCTCTACCAACTGCACCACTGTGCAGCCCAAAAGAAATATACTCTACAGTTAAATACATTGTTAAGTGTAGCAAAAGTTGGGAACAATATGTCAAAGGAAAGAGTTGATTAAGAGCCAATCTGGTTGCTAGCTCCAAAATAATGCTATGCTCTTCTTTTCAGGTTCAAATTTGGACATGGGAATTGTGCCATGTCTAACTTAAAGAAGGTCTAGGGCTCTGAAAGGTATCAGTGACATATTCTTTTTCTGTTATGTTCATGAATGTAGGGGTAAAACACATTAGCTGTAACACAAGCTGCAAGTCCATCAAGATTAAAGATCTGGTCACATGTATTTGTACAAGTACAACAGTCAGTAAAATGCATCCTGATCTTTTCTGCACAAATCGAAAAGAGCTTCAAAATAACTCATGTAATAGTCAGAATTAAAATACATAATTGATCCCAAAATTGAATTATATTAAGTAAATATACAAGGTAAACAAGTAGGGTAAAGAATTAGTGTATATTTTCAAGTAGAAATAACAATCTCTGACTGCAAGTTAACAGGAACAACATCAGGAGTAAATCCAGGTAAAAATGCAACATACAAGATATTGAAATGATTCCAAAATCCTTCTCCCATTTATGAATATTTCCATTGGATTTTGTAATATTCTGCATTAAGCATAAAACTTTTACCTAAATGGGTTTCATAATCTGGGCAGCAAGTGTCTGATTTGAAAGCGTAGAAAATAACTATTTCATAGTAAGCTTGAATTTTTGTTGCTATATTTGCTAAATAATGCCATACATAAATAAAATGTTAGCAGAAACAGCACACGTCAAATAGCATTTACTTAGAAACAGGCATTTCACTTCTTTTAAAACTCCAAAACAAAATGCAAAAATCACGTGGTTTAAAGTGTAACGCTTACCTCTTTTTCGAGGTTTGAAACGCTGGCCTGTTAGCGTAGGCTTCTGTTGCCTTTGATTACTCATAAAAGACACTCTGCAAAACAAGAAGTTAGGCAAGACTTGGCGATAACCATAAATATTTACTTTGTAGCGAAAGAGCAACAATGTGATTTAACTAAGGGCATGCATTACTTGCAGTCGAGTTTGTTGATTTACAATTTGAAGAACGAAGCGTTTATAAGCCCTGACAACTGGGTGCAAATCACTATTGTAAGCTATCAGCAACAGTGTCACACTTGTTTTCCGTTATACTAACAACAAAATGACACAGACATTGCTTTATAAAGAAGTGCATTTTTAAGTACGTATATCTAGCTTAAAATTGACAAATACAAATCAACTAAGGCCTGACAAAACAACAGGGCCGAGACCAATAAGTTGGCGTTAAATCTCAGTAGTAGAAATATCTGAGGCAGCTAGCTAAACTGTACCGAACGTTTAGCAACTATTGATTTTCGTAACGGATATTGACGTAACTGCTGAATATATACCCACAGCTCGGATAAACAACGAGCAAAATCAGCGAAAAACTCACCGAAATTCCTTTTTGGATCAAAAACAGCCCGTCGAAAAAATATGGGACAAATGGACTGCAGCTCAATCAGGTACAGGGAAGATGAAACGGTAGACGTCAGCGCGCATGCGCACATGCACTATCCATCCCAACAGAGAAAATACCAGCGACAATTTCATATTAGCAACTTTCCAGTTCTTAAAGCTGTGAGATATGATTTTTTTTGTTTGCTTTTTTTTAGCGTTTTATATTTGTGAAGAACCTGCAAAACATGGATACACGAAGGAAGAAATGCTTCACATACAGAGGATCTACAACTGAACATGGGTTTCAGTCCTGAACACGCCAAATTGAGCCAGCGTCATTAGACAGTTGTCAGCAAGTCGTTGCGATGTAAAATTAAGACACAGGAGGGGGGTATTGTGCTGCCGGGAGGAGGAGGATGATGAATCTATCCATGTGGGTTTCAGGGGAAACTTTAATGCTGCGTTAAAGCTCATCTCGTACATTTAAGTATTCAGGAACTTTCCCCAAATATCATTAGGGGTTATATCCAAGCAAACATTCATCCCAAATATTGAAGGATATATGTATGTCTATTTTTCAAATATGACAGTAACAGACATAAACATGTTTATGTTAAACTAACTCTAAAAAAGTTTTATTTAGTTTGGAAATTGCTCTTTGAACCCTTATTACTTTCTGGAGACTTTTTAGATTTTGCTAGGCTAATTTTCAATCCATGTTCCAACTTAATGCTTCCTATTCTTCTTGCACCCCAACAGCCAAACTTGATGGTATAGCAGTTCTCTTACAAAAAGCATGAATAAACACTGTCCTCTGGATCAAATGCATTGTTCACATTAAAGTGTTTTGTATTCTACAGCAAAACATTTGCAATGTATTTGAGAAAACTACACACATTTCCAAAAGTGATGGCAACAATAAAACCTTGAAAGCAGTCTGTAAAGAGAACAGAAGGTTGATGCTGCAGATCATCACTATGTGTACATATTTTTAACACTGTCAACTTTCCACTTGTGTTGTTGTAAATGTGTAATTTAACCAAATTTGCTAATTTAAATAAAAAAAACTTAAGATGAAGTTGAATTAAGAAAACAATGCACCTTTCATATCAAATGTTATTTGAAATAGAACATTTGCAAAGTACTTTAGTGTCCCAAATAGATGGTTATCATATTTAATAAAACATATCCAATAAATTAGAACATGTGTTTTGACAAGGTTTGCCAAATTAAAAGCACTTTGTACTTTCCATTAAGTTCACATTTATGTCTTAATGTTTAATTTTCTGTCTTATATAATTGGCTTACCTTAAATATATTTTCTTTATCTTTTAATGTGGAAAATCATCACGGGAAAATCATCAGTCAGAGATTAAAAGCAAAAGTATGTGTCCCAGATTGCAATACGCTTTTCAGTAACACACACACACAATATATATATAAGCTATTCAGCGTTTCATGGATAGTTGTAAACATATTGTTCCTACGGTACATGAATGCATCACAAATCCACCTCCTCCCCCCTCCGCACAGAAGGTGATTAAGGGACTCTGGACAAACCCAGAGACGCCGCTCCAGCCACTCCCTACGCCCGGCAGTTTGTGAGCTCTCAAATCCATGCGGAGCTCCAGTCAAAGTGCTGAGATCCGGATGAGGGAGCCGCTTTCAGCCTCATCCAGCACAGCAGACTCAAGTTCAACCGAAAACAGCCGGGATAGGCTTCGGGAGTCCACTCCAGAGTTGGAGAAGCACCCCGGGATCATAGTCTTGTCCGCGGACGGGATTCAGGACGAAGAGGAGCAACTCTGTCAGAGCTAAAGAGAGGTGAGTTGGATAAACTCCGCTGCTTAGCTGAGTGAAATAGTTATGTTTTAAATTTTAGTTTGACGTGTATGCGCAACTCCTCAAAAGTTAACTTTGTACTGTCACTGGATTGCCTTCCTCATTCATTTCTCCTCTTTTTGCAGTTGAGGATGGGGGTTGGGGTTCACTTATCTCTTTATTTACTTTTTCTTTGAGCTAAAACTACTTTTAGCTAAAACAACGAGTATGAACGTTACATTCAAACAGCTCGTTTGTACTTCAGAGTAAGAATCTTGTAGCAGCAGTTTTGTTCACCGTCGCTAATTAGCAACATCTGTGAGCAGGAGCAATTTGAGGCGACGCCAACCGCTGCAGGACAGCGGCACAGTTGAGTCCTCTTTACAAGCGGTTGTCATATAAGTTCACTTTTTAACTGCACAAAGCAACGCTAGCAATCTGTTGAATATGCGGGGTTTCATAATACCAGAACAAATCTGAAAAGTTCAGTTATTTGCGTTATTTGCACAGCGGTGTGTGGGCGGGCGCTTTATCGTGGTGAAAATGATGAAACGACTAGCAGTGCGTTTGTAGATTTAAAGGTACTGGAGATTTTTTTTTTTTTTTTTTTTTTTTTCCCCAAAACAAAACCACTTAAAAAAAAAAAACTTGGCAGGGATCTGCAGTTAAAAAAAAAAAGCACTGACGGGGAATCCTCCCCCAACTTTGTGCTTTTAATCGTTGACGTCACCACAGGCGCAAGAACCTAACTGATCACCTGGCATTGGTAAACAGTATGGAAGCTGAGCAACTTTTAACACTCTACTGGTATTTTTATTTATGTTAACACCTCAGTTTTTTTTTTCCTATTTTTGCATACAAACATGTCCCTAATAATCAACTATAATGCTTGGGTGATGCCTTTATTGAATGAACATTGCAGTTTTGTGCTGATTGATCTGCCCAGGCCCTTTTTGAAGAGCTACTTCCAAGTGTTAATTTATTGTTTTCTGAAATCCATCCAGTGTTGTTGAATACAATCTTAAATATTGTGCTTAATAAAAGTAGAATTACTTGATGGAATAATCTAATTTTAAAAGGATTAAAAAGGATATGCACAAAAAGCTGATTTGTGCATGGAAGGCTTAAAAATATGTGCTACATGAATTATGTGATTTCCTTAAGCCCTTTTGTGATCTCACTGAAATCATAGGTTTGTGGAGGTTGTTTTTGGAAGGTTTCATTTCAAATGAAGGTTTCTCTATGTTGCATAATTGACAAGTTAAATATGTAAAAATGGGTTTAATGTTGCATAATAGCCTGACAGGTAGCTTTAACAGCTCCTGTGGCTCTTTTTTGGAATAAATTCCTGCTCAGAATGAATAAAAGTATTCTTCTGTTGGAGGGAAAACTTCCAAAGTTCACCCATGCTGGCTGGACCTGGATTCTCCTGTGGGATCCAGACTTGTTAGTCACAGTTAAGGCTGATGCCCTATGAGGGTAAAAACTATTGCAGCTCTGGTGGGAAAATATAAAATAAAAAAATCTTTTGCATATTTGGCATTTCAATCATCCCCATTGCACCCTGGTTAGGAAAACATCTGTACATTCAGTATTGGTTTTCCAAGCTTGGAGTTTCTCTTATTATGGTGAAATTGAAGTCACTGGATTAGAGAAGACCTTTTTTTACGAAATGAGTTTGTCTTCCTCCCCTTTGTGGTTTTCCACAACCATGTCCCTCCTTTTCTGGCAAGCTTCCCCATGGTGATCCAGATGGGAACTTTATTGCGCTTGCTGATCAAACAAACATTAATGTAGTGTGACGGTGAAAGGTAGTGAGCGAAGAGAGGGGGAGGTAACAATCGTTTAGCTCAGCTGGAAGAAGGGTAGCGTGTGGGACTGGTGGCCAGTAGTTCCACTCTGTGGGAGCTTTTCAGGCAGCCTGCTAGGAGCTGCCACAGTATTTCTGAATGTGCCAAAAACCCCATCAGAAACACTGTGGGGGGATGCACTGTGGTCTGGAGCAGGGTGTATCGAGGATCAAAGTCCCTCCACCAATGCCATGGTGATGAATAGTGTTTGCACTTGTCCAATCTGTGTAGTGGGGCGTGTGGCTTGTGTTAGGCCTGCGTCAACAGAGAGGAAGCCACTCGGAAGCCAGGAAGAATCGGTAGTCCTCTCAGTGATGAGAGGACTCATGAACTCATCCGTAATATGGATGAGTTCAGGAACTCGTCCATATTACGGTGCATTAGTATCCAGCTTACTTCTCTTTTCTGATTGAAATCAAATGGTGTACATGTTTTCTGAGTTAACCGTCTTGGAGAAATGTTCACTTTGCAGTGCAGCTCTGGATGTCTTCCACCAGTTCAGCTTAACTGCTTATATTTCACCTCCTTTTTATCCCCTGAGAACCACACTACAAATACTGTACATTCATCTTCCTCCTCTCTCTCTCCCTCTGCTTCGTCAGGTCCACCACAGCTACTTTTTCAATTCACTATAAGGGTTAGCCAGACTAACTGTGCCTCTTATGCAGAGGGCACTTGACTGCACAAATGCACCCTTGTTCTTTTTGTTCACATTTATTTTGCTGCTTCAGAGTCAAAATTGTTTTTTAGTTTAACTCCAAAATAACAGCCAAATAAATGTCTTTTTTGGAGTGAATTTTACCTCCTTGTATGTCACACCTGCTTATGAACAAACCTGAACCAGGGGAAATCTTGTGAAAGGACTTGCTATATGCATGTTGTGAACTTTAAAGACTTGTGCTTTTTCTAATCTGACCAGATGTTGCATTTAATGGTCAAAATGAAGAGTTTTCAACTGGTTTGACTGCCATAAAATAGACTCATACAAATTTGCCTGCACCCTTGGTAAAGATCGTAAAATTAAATTGGTCATTTAATTCCCTTTCTAAAAGGGATTCAGAGATTGGTTTAAATTTAAATGGGCGCACACATTTTCTCCCCCTCTCCTTTAGATCATTGTTCTGTTAAAACTTTTATTCAGTTATCTGGCAGAGGCCACTAGATTGTTGTTCAAAATGTCAGTAGAGTTCATGATGAGAAACGTGCTCACAGAATGATTGTTCTTTTACTGTTTTTAATAGTGCAAATATGTATCCTTGTCCAGTCTAATATTTAGTGTCTGAAAGAAATGCTTGTCTGTCATGTTACATTTATACCCCAGAGAAACAGGAAGTAGTGGATTGCTAAGGAGAAGTTCCGAGAAACGCTGGTCAACTTAAAAATATATTAAAGACAGAAAAAGTGCTTCAGTTACATCAATTGTATCTGTATTTTTGAAAGGGCATGCTGCAAAGGGTTATATTCATAGATTCATCTTGAGCTGATCTCAGTTACATAGAACAACTATGTGACTTGTTTTTGCTTATATTTTGCTAACATGTTTCCTTTTTGCCACAATTACTGGAATGGTCATAATCAGATGTAAGAAGCTAAGTTTATACTCATTTACCTTTATGGATTTGGTTATGGGAAATGACTTTGTATAATTTTGTGGAGTTTTAATATTTATGTTCTTCACATTTTCTGAGTATGTTGTTGGACTCAGGGAAGCAGAGTTTAGGTACTGCACATGGAGTGATCTGTTCCATTCTGAGAGGCAGACTTGGGGCTAACTTTTAGCACTATATAAGACTATGACATCATCTTTCAGGCTGAAGTTATTTTCCGTTCAGCTTTCACATGTGCCTGCTCCTAACCTTTTCCAAAAGGAAGCCTTCTTCAGATTTCCATGCTTTGCTGGTTCATTTCTCTTGTCTTGATTGCCATCTATGATCTGGTGTTTTGCAACTCTGTTGGTCTGCGCATGTTGAGCTGCTTTGCAAATAAAGAACTGTTTGTTTGGGTTACAGAGTCATGTTTAACCTGCCTGGATGGTTTTGCGGTATGAAAACATACTGACAAATGTGATGACCTATGTTCGCAATAATTTGGACTCAGTCCCAAGGTTAACATTTTGAAATTTGGGAACAAAGATGTCTGAACTGATGTTTTGTCTGAACAACCAATGAAGTATACGTATTTAGATCTATTCAAAATGAGCAGAAGGAAGTTTGGGCTTTTTTAATATCCTATGTTTTAGTCTTGCGTTGTCCTCCTCTTTACATTTTGCATTTGTCATACCCACACAAACAGATATTCAGAAAAATAAGAAAAAAATGATATCTGCACCTGATAACATGCATCAAGGAAACACTTCATGTGTGGATTTATACAGCGCTCTAAACATTTTTGTAACATATTTTTCTTTAGCATTGTAGATTTTTGATTACCAAACTAATTTTTATATGCAACAGTTTTAGTAAATGCCAAATGAATTTTTCCTCCAAATGTTTACGAGGCATTTGCTAACCAAATGATCCTAATTCTATATGAAAAAGCCAACTGCCCACAAAATCATATGGACACTCTTACTACCCTTGGTGATAACAGTTGCCATCAAGCCTTAGCAATAAATGGCGATGTGTTAATATATTTTACATTGTCATGGACTAATGGTGGTCCACTGATCTTTGCAGTATTGTTTTCCATTTACATTGGAGGGTTTTCCAGCATGAGTGGCCTTTTAAAGATCGCACCAAACCCTGTTGACACTGGCGTCAATTACAGCAAGTTGTTCCAAAAGTCTTGAATCGACACGTTTTGGCTTATATTAAAAGGGCCTTTGTATTCTTTTAGACAGCATTGGCTTTGGCCTTAACACACTTTCATGGACATCATATTTGTCTCGTTCCTTATTGTTGAATGATTAACACCGACTTTAACCGATGCAAGTTAGGCCTGCAAGCAAGCGACCTCCTGCTTGAGGACATTGAGATGCTGTTGGAACAGTTTTGTCAGGGTGGACCCCCTGTTGTAAGTAATGGCTCTCTCTGTGGTTCACTGGAGTCCCAAAGCCTTAAATTGGCTTTGTAACCCTCTCCAGCCTCATAGATGTCTGACCTTGTGTTCTTTTGGGTTGGGCATGATGCTTTTTTGAGATCTTTAGACCTGCTT